AGCCTGCTTACTACAAGTGACTGCAGGCAAAGATGGGAACTTCATGTTTTCCCCCAGTGTCACCTGAGTGATGTTCAGAGACCCATTGTTCTGGGCAATTTGCAGCTGTGGAACTTGTGCAATCTTCTATGTCTAATCCAAATGCTGGTTTTAATACAGCCCTGATTATCTCTGACTCTGAGCAATAGCATATCTGGGGTTTTATTAAGGCAATATTGCTAATGGTAAACTAAGCTGTTAATTTCAAATTTGGCAGCAACTATTGACAATTCTTATCTTTTTAATTTAGTACCCTCATTTGACAGGGTACATCTCCAACCTCAGCAAGACCTCTAATTATCACAAGTGTGAGGATTTCTTCCCTTTTTACTGCTACTGGATTGCAAAATCATCTTCACATTTACTCTCAGGAAAGGGACTCGTAGTGAGTCCATTGTTTGTGTGGGCACCTTGTTTATGAAAGTTTTCCTAGATGATTAGAAAAGATTACTAAGTGTTTAGCAAAGGTATGAAGCTTAAGTACAAAACAGTGAGTCCTGCTGAGTTGACCCTGGCCTACAAAAGCCACCCTGTCACTCCCTTCCTACCTTGGACAAGGAAAAGAGAAAATAGAATGAAAGGCTCATGGGTTGAGATAAGGAACAGGGACAGATCATTAACCCATTACTGCCATACAGATGACTTGAATAAATTAGTTTAATTTATTACCAATCAAATCAGAGTAAGACAATGAGATAGAAGAATTAAATCTTAAAGTGTCTTCCCTCCTCCCACCCCTCATTTCTTACCTAGGTAACATACCTCCTGTAACCCTCAGGTATTGGCAAGACATTGTCAGAAGCTCTGGAAGGTACATAAAGAGATTAATTTAGTATGGTGTTCCAACAGTGTTGTGGTTAGCACTGTAATAACTGTATTACAGAGCAGTACTGCATATATAACTATAAAAAATCAAATATTTTTGAAATGTCACATTTTCCAAAGAGATGACGAGTCAGAGGTGCCTCTTTAGCAGGAGACAGAAATAGAACAATGTTTAATATTGTTGAAAAGGGTGGATAGATAAACATTCTCCTTCCACTTCTGCCTTGCTTTGTGATACAGGTTTTTCTTGTGGCTATATAGTGGTATCAACCCACAGAAACATTACTTGAAGAAAATGGATTTTCTGCTGGTATGTCTCACGTCGAGTTTTTTCCTCATCTCTAGGTCTTGATCCAAGTCTGCTGGCATTAGTAAAAGAAGACAAATAGTTACACAATAGTATGGAAAAATTGCAGCAATTTTAGCAAATGCACTGAGATATTAATGTTCATTCATCCAACTGAAAAACACCCAAAAACATTCAAGAAAGGACTGCAGAGGTAAAACATGAAACAGAAGTTGCTGTGTTATCTTCACCTCTCCTGTCATTTGCTCCCTTGTTTAATTTTTCCTCTATTCTTTCTAGGTACAACTCTAGACTGTGACAGCAATTACAGTGCAAACACAGTAGTTGTCTGCTCAGGTTAGACTGATCTGGAGAATTAAAGTAGATTGTGTTCATTGTATTTGTATCACAGGTTAACTCTTCTCAGAGCTGTACCTTTGCTCTGCTGTGCTCTCCCCAGTTCCCCCTGCTTGTCCTCCTCCAACACCTGAACTTTCTAGGCTTGTCACACGGTAATATTTTGCACCAATCCTTTCTCTTGCCTGGCTCTGAGTGGCTCACCAGAGTGCCTTTAAAGTGGGTGACTGATCCTTTCAGCCTGTCTGAATAGCAGAGAGCTAAAGTGGAGAGCAGGGGGAAAGTGGGAGAGGATGTAGCAAACCCATCCCTGTGTGGAGGATGAATGTCTGGTGCTCAAAGTGATGGAGGTAAAAATGAGCAAAAAAATTAGGGGTGATAGGAAACACTTCTTCTGGAGTGCTCATTAAACTTGTTCCTCAGTAGCAGGAAATAAATATGTCATTTTTGCAGTACTTGAATCAGGCAGAGTGATCTTTTTGCCAGAGTTTTGTCTGGGGTTTCCAAATCCTGCTACTACTGCTTCTAGTCAGTCTTTTCTGGCTCTGTCAGTGCTCTCTTCTTTTTCTTTTTTGCTTTCCCTTCCTGCTTTCTCTCTGTCGTGTTTCTCCCTGAAATCTCGGTTTCAGTTGCAGTTTCAGTCCTTCTGCTGTCCCTGCAGACTCTGAAGTGGGAGGCAGAGTGGAAGGAGCAAGAGGAGCCTGCAGTGGGGGTGTGCAGGGAGGGGATGGGGGTTGGTGGTGGGGCAGTGACCCCTGAGGCTCAGCTCTCCAAGAGGCCTTGGGCAGACAAAGGAGAACGAGAATTAATCAGGAAAGCTGTCAAAGTTTTCTTGCTTGTTTTCGGGGGCTGTGCCCCTCTAGTTCAAATTGAGTATTTGAGCATCCAGGCACAGCAAGCGTGGCACATTTGAATGCATAGGAGGCATTGAAACAATTAAAATGATATTTCTGGTTTGGGCTGATAGAAGTTTTCCCCCTTCAGCTGTTCTGTCCCCAGTGCTGTTTGTATGTCTGTTCTTGCCAGGTACTGGCACTTGTGGCTGCTTTCTGGCATTATCACAGTCAGCTTGTGGGGATGGTCTTTTGTGAGGGTTGCCATGGGATGTTGGTTTGCTCAGGAACGGTTCTTCTCTGTTGGTCAATTACAGTACACATCAGCTTTTATCCCATCGTAATTCACTTAAAGAAAATCTGGTTTCTTGGCGAAAGAGTCCTTCTCAGTATGTTCAGTGGTAGGATATCACTCATAGGAAAGGAGTGGATTAGTGTGCTGAAACTGTGCAGAAATAGATTTTTTTTTTTTTAATAATTGAGTATGACAGTGTTGTAACAGGAAGGTTGGAAGGCAAAGCATTTTTTGAAGTAAGCCTGATGTTCTGCTATGTTCTTCAGCCCTGGAGCCCAAGCAGCAGTCATGGGACACTTTCTCCTGTGCTCTTTCCAACTTGTTTTGGAACTGTGACTTTTTTTTAATAAATCCCCCTAGAAGCTGTAAGGAATGCATGTTTGCTGTTGCATAGCTTTTCCAGAGCTAGAATTATGCCTGGAGAGAGTTGCTTAAGTTATTCAGAGGTGGAAGCCTGGTCATACTGGGGGACAGGCTAAATGGACATAGATCCTCTGCCTCCACCTCTGACATTTGATTTCAGGGTAGAGGTTAAAGCAATAACTACACACCACAACACTTGTAACTTATTCTCTAGGAGGGTTTTTTTTTTTTTTCTTTTTTAGTTTGTCTGAATTTTGAGGGTTTTTTTCCACTTCTTTTCTCTACTGCATTATCCAGAGCTGAGCTGAACTGCACTCCCACAAGTTATTCTCGTGTGGACTGAATGCATCAGGGGCAATCAAGAGGAAATCAACAGGCTGTAGATGCACTGAGATATGGAGGCAGGTCAGGCTTAGTGATGCATCATTCACAGTCTCTGTTTATAACACTTCACCTCCAGGAGGTTGTGTGTTATGGAAAATCTTTGCCTAGAAGCTTAAGCTCACAACTTCAGAAATTATAGCAGAAGTGGAATATTACCCTCCCCAGAAGAACTACTGGAGGAACAAAAGAAAAAAAATCCTTATTGGGATCAATGGCTGTTGCTTTTTGTGAAAGAAAAAAATTACTGAAAGAGGGCAAAATTATCATTATTGATAAATTCCATTTTACTACTATGGGACCCAAACCTCAGGGTCTTATAGATGGTTCTTAATTATTCCCCCAAAGGAGAGGCTGATTTTTCTCACTTCTAAAAAGGCTTGTCTTCTCCAAGCCATTGAGCTTATTAAAGACTGCTTAAATAAGCTGTTTGTAATCATTGCTGATTGTTTCCCTTTGTTTATTTAACAGACTAAATCTATTTATAAATTCAGTTTCTGTTCCCCTGTGACTGTCATTAATGTATCTGCTTATTTTACATCAATTATCCCTGTCATGTAACTGAATAGACTAATATAGTCTGTTGCCTTGTGATTTCTCAGTGCACATTCATTTTTACTCCCATACCTTTGAGCGGACACTTCCAAAACCACACTAACCAAATCTTGTGCTTTGTATTTTCATTTTTTCCTAGCTGACTAGATCTCTGTAGAGATTTTTCAACATGCAAAAGCTTTTCCCCTGCTCAAAATCCTTGTATTTTATACCACTTTCCTAATCTTTCTCCATAATATTTGTATATACCTTTACAGTAAAATGGGGAAGGAAAAAGAGGATTTTGTGTACAATATTCCATATAATTCCATCAGGAGGATGGAATCTACTGTTCAGTTTCACAGGCTGCAAGCACTGCTATCACTTTCAGGTGCTGGCTGCCTTTATGCAAGGATTGACTATGCCAGGGAGAAGAGATGCAGAACTTCAGGGATCTTTTAATTATTTGTGTGATAACACATTAAATTAATCTGGACAAATAGAAAATCAAGGAGCAGGGGATATTTATGTACATTATGCTAACTATAGCAGACCAGCTCTGGTAACACCCATTTGGATGATGTGTGTTCCACTATTAGTCTCAACAATTAACAAAAATAATCCAGCAGTGACATGGTTTTTAAAGTCTCTGGGGTCTAATGAAGAATGGAGGCAGCGTGTGAAGGGGTCCCCATGCAGCTATGGACAAATTCAACAGGAATCAGCTGCGAGCTGCTGGGCTCTAGTTCTGAAGAGAGAGAGGGTTTTGCTTTTGAATCAGGGAACGTGGTGTTTTCTGAAGCCTCTTCAGGCAAAATAGTGTTTTTATTGCTTCTCTTTGGGACACATTGTCCTGAGGAACAGCCCTAGCATGGGAGGTTCCAGTTATCCAATGAAATGCTAATTGCTTGCTGTAAAACTTGTATGAAATCCAAACAAATCTCAAACACCTTCCTTTTTATCAACTGCATTTCAGGTTACCAGCTTTGTTCCTGAACTGTAGGTTTTTCAGTGGGTGTAAATATAGTCCTTAAAAATATTAAAACTGTTATTTTCTGCCTTAAACATAGGCTCTATATTTTTTCAAGTTAGGGTTTCTACATGCCTGCTGAGATGAGCTGAAAATCCCTCCTGTTAAAGAGAACTGACACTCAGATTTCAGAAGAGCTGTGAGTAATATTAGACATAAACCTGTTCTAGGCTTGTGGGGACAAAAAAAAAAAAAAAAAAAAAGAGTTATTACAGTAAGACTAAAAACTTCAGATGTCTTCCAAAAATACTGGAAAAGCTTTTGATGTGGAAGACTATATCCATATTTGTGGTGACCTACACAGATTATAGTTGTGCTTGCAGCAGAAAACCTTCCATGAGGTCAAGAGTCAAAAGGATATATTGATTTACTGGCCAATGACTGTAACTTTCATCTTGCCTGGGACTTATGAAGTTCCTCAGCATCATGTTGTTTCTGTTTCTGCTGGTGCTGTAAAGTTGCACTGCAAAAGAAATGCTTCCTGAGCATTCTCTTAGATGTGGAATACAAGAATAAGAGGCATCCTCAGCTACAAAACCAGAGCTGAGTGGTGCAGGGCTCACCCTCCAGCATGTATGGATTTGTTGATTAAGAAAATACCTTGAAACTGTCTACAGCTCGGCCCTTTTGATCTTTTTGCCCTCTCACTTCCTCTTGACTGTTTCTTTATTTCCCTGGTGTTTTTAGGAACTCTTTGAGTTTTCATATTCAAGCAGATGAGGGATGTACCAATTGTCTAGCAGGCACATAAGGGCTCTGAAGATGGTCCAGTTCAGCAAGTGCATAATATAACACAAGCCTTTCTTTTGTGGTAAGAGCCAGGGTTCTGAATCAAATTGAGAAATGGGCATCTTTCTTTTACAGTGAAAAGAAAAAGCCCAATTATGAGCAGTGTCTGAAGAAATTCATGCTGGGCTAGACCTCTGGGCCACCTCGCACAGTGCTTCAGGTCCATTTTTAGAGGCATTTGTCTGTATAGCACTCAGGACCTTCAATAAATTCAATTTTTGTTTTCTTTTCGTGATCTTCTCTCCTCTTAACGAAACTGGTCCCACTGATTGATATGTTTTTAATGATTGCTTTCACAATATACTCCATACTACAGTGATTTACAATCTTTAAGAACTTTTTTATTTGACTGCTCCTTCCTACTCATTTTTTTGTCTCTTTGTGGCAGATACTGCAGTGATTCTGTAGTGCTGACAAAATGGGAATTATAAGGAAGCACTTACCAACAAATCCTGGCCAATCTAATGAAGCTGTGTGGGGAGAGGTGAAGAATGACAATGTGAATGTTTAAAATCACTTTATGTTTAGCTCATCCACCTGAGAAATCTGTGTTTGTATTGAATAACCTTGTTCATAATTCAAGAAAGAAACCACAACCAACAAACCTAAACCATAAAAGCAATTTTTTTTTAAAGACATTTGTCTGGTCATTTAGTGAGAGAATGGCACTTGTTGTAGGGCATCTCACAAAGAATTTCATGGGACAGAGACCCTTTTTATTTTTATAAATATATTTTTCTTTCCCATTGGGATGATATTCTCTATTGCTAAAATGGTGGCTAAGATATTCAGAGAGCAGAAACGGAGCTCTGGGGATTTTTGCAATTGTGTGTTAATCTGAAAACTAAAACATCAAACAGAAAGAAAAGTTTCCTGGAATTTAAACATGTTTAGCCCACTACCAAAACAAAACAAAAAAAATCAAATGTTTTTTACTCCTACCTATGAAGTTATAATTTCTCTTTTTTGTTATTCCACCTGTATTTACTTCATAGAGAGAAACCCCTGAGAATTCCCTTCCATGGAATAAGGATGCTTTCCAGTTGAGCAACCCCTGTAAAAAGACCCAAGTCATTTGAGTGAGCAGGATTTGTATTTCCTTTCACCTTAACTGTTTCCTATTTCCCACAAGACACCCTGTCACTGAGCTACTTAAGCCATATGAACAGCACAGCAGCAACACAAGCAAATCGAGGCTTGCTTTTATAGTGTCTTTATAGTCTCACAGTATTGTTGGTGCTATTGTTTCTGAGCTGGAGAAAATCTATTTGAAGCAAGCAACTCAATGAATATGGTCCTTTTATTCAGATAATGAATTATCTGTGTAGAAACTCACATGAACAGAAGCCTTTGTTGCTAAAAAATTATCATGAGAATGGTTTAGACAGAACGTGTTTTGGCTGGCTGGCTGTCTGGGTGCATGCAGCTATCTAATAACTATTATGTTACTTATTTCCTACACCCTACTTGCTATTTGCTCCCTGGGATTGATGTCCTATGTCAGGTGGTATTTTTTTTCTGTTCCCAAACCCACAGAGGAGTTATCAAATTTTTGGGAAATGCACTTTCCTTCCAGACATTTGACTGTTCAGGCAAAGAAACATGTACATATATTATAGTGTGTATGTAAAATGGGTCAACAAAACAGGGAGGCAATCAAGAAAAATTTATATTTGGATGATGGTTTACAAGAAACTATTTCATATTATTTGCCCAGCTCACGTTTGAAAAAAACTGATTTAAGTACTTTCCTTGTTCACAGATGGCACATAAATAGTAACTACAAAAGTACTGTGCTCTCTACATAGCTGGATGTTTCTTTTAAAAGTCTCTCTGCATTTTTATAGCAGTTTATCTATCTTAGCTACCTCTATCTCCCATATTACTATAGCTTTTGAATATCTCATAATCCTTAATGTATTTATCCTCATAACATCTCAAAAAATTGGAGGTGCTGTTATCTTCTTTTTATGGGTCTCTTATTTATGGTTTTATTCCTTTTATTTTTTTTTATTCCAAGATTGGCGATAAGCTGGCTTGAAGAAGTAAAAGCTTTTGGTACACAGTGCTTTGATCCCCTCCCAAGTCAACATTAATGGTTCCTGTTGCAAAATGAAGGGAGGAACCAAACATTTTCTGTGTCGTTCTCTACAATAATCTGACTCTTTGCTGACATGGTGGCTTTTGCTGCCACGTGAACACCTGAGATGTGTTGTAGTTAAGTGCAGAAGTACAAACAACCAAGATCAGTTTTGTTTTAAAATGAAATCTTCTTCTCCTTTATGATGTCTCTGAGATTTGCGTAGGGAAACAATTTCTTAGAATCCAAAGAGCAAAACATGTCTTGGACATCCTGAATTCTGTTTGGAACTAGAATCTGCAGCAAAAGTCTAAAAGAAAGGCTTAGAAATTATTCAAGGAAGATTTTCTATAGCGTTTGTTTTAATGTGGCAATAATTGACATTACGAAAAAACCCAAACCAGCCCATTCTCATAAAGGCTTAGTGGCTGGAGAAGAGGAGCCTGGAGAGGATGGGGATCTCAGAAGGAGGAGCTGGATGCCAGCCCTGGAGGTGCACTGAGGTAGTGCCACTGCCTGTGGAATGCAGGATTCAGCTCATGTGTTGTCACCATTTCCCTTGTGCCAGCACATGCCTAAGGCCCCTAAACCAGGGAACATTAACTCTGCAACAAAGCTTTGAGCAGTTTTCAGCAGGGATTTTTCCTTGCCCACCTTGCAGTGCTCAGGAAGCCTCTGTGCTGGAGAAAGAAACTGAAATAAAAGTGAACAAGTGGCTGGTGCTGAGGAAGGTCAGAACGTTCCCCCGTTTCAGCAGAGAATGTGTTGGGAACCTTCACCCTTGGCAGATTGTCCCAGCTGCACTGCAAGGCTGGGTGTGAAGTGATGGCCAGAGTCTGTAGGAGAACAGAGACTTTCCAGCTCCTTGGCTGCAGGCTGATTTGGCCATCTGTGACTTATTTCCCTTTTTGCTCTCATGTACTCATTTCTGGTTTTCTGTTGTCTAATCCTATACATGATGGTTATAGAAAAAAAAAAATAGTATTTCACATGGGGCCTGATTAACTAAGGGATTTATAGTGTCAAATAGTCTGGGATTTATATTATCAAATAGTCTCATGCTTGTTATTCAGGGTTATGTCAAAATATTGTTTATTAGGTAGGACTTCTATATTTGGTGGCTTGGGTTTTTTTTTTTTGCAGTGGGATGCATTGCTAATTTTAATGCTGGCCCTCAGATTTTGTTGAAGCTACATGTGTCTTTCTAGTAGGCATAAATGATCTGTGTCTCTGCTTTCACATTTTCTAAGTTTTTCTTTTTGCTAACAATTACCTATTATAGCAGCTCCAATTTCAGAAATTACTTTTGTAGAAAATGTAAATAGTTTTTATATATTGCTTTATTTTTCTCTATTCTGGAAGAGGTGTAAGTAGCTGAAATGAGGATGTGTGAGTTGTTTATATAGAGCATGTGAAAATGAATACAAAAAAACATATTGAAGTGAAATATTTTAGTATATCAAGACATAGTTTTGCAGTTGTTATCCAACACCCACCCACTGTATTCCTTAATATACATAAGGAATTTTGGAATTTTACCAAAAAAAAAAAAATTAAAAAGTATCAGACATTATAAAGTGATAGAAAATCTAGCTCTAATAAATTCTCCATGTTGATGGCCTGAAAATGTGAAATAAAAATCAATCTTTTTCTTTAAAGATTTGACAATAGTTGAGATATAAATTATGGAAGCAATTTAGAAAAAAGCTAAACTTTTCTGTCCCTTAACAAATGGAAAACACTTCGAATAAGGGTTTTAAAACAAATTGTTCATAAAATAAAAAGGACAAAGCAATAAACAAGAGAGAGTAAGTGTAATGTTATCTGTAAGGAATAAGATAAGAAAGTTTTACACATAGAATCAGAAAGAGTAGAAGGGAATAGCAAAAGCCAGATTTGACTACTGTTGTGTTTATAGGCCCTTCTGTTTCAAGTTGTAATAGGCAGAAGTTATTGCAGAGTAGATAAACAGGGTTATCTGGAGTTCCTATCTGCATTCTTCTCTGGCTTGAAAAACTAATTGCAGACAGAGTTAGACAGAGCAGAATGTCCCGAGCAAGTCACCTAGAATTTCTTTCAGTGCTCTAGATTCCTAAACTCCTTGGTATTTTTTATGAGAATGGGCTGTTTTGGGGTTTTTTGTAATGTCAATTATTGCCACATTAAAACAAACCAGATAGAAAATCTTCCTTGAATAATTTCTAAGCCTTTCTTTTAGACTTTTGCTGAACATTCTAGTTCCAAACAGAATTTAGGGTGTCCAAGACATGTTTTGCTCTTTGGATTCTAAGAAACTGTTTCCCTACGCAAATCTCAGAGACATCATAAAGGGGAAGATGATTTCATTTTAAAACAAAACTGATTTCGGTTGTTTGTACTTCTGCACTTAACTACTTGAAGTGAAATGTGTAGGAGTGTGGGACTGAGTAGCCTGTTCAGCTGCCTGGCCCCAGGAGCAGGATGCACGTGTCCAAGTTCTCTGTGCAGGATTTTGAGTATTGATAATTAATACAAGGGAATCCAGGCTGCTGCTCTTGTGATGGCTTTTTTCTATCACTCAAGAGCCTGTAGTTGATAAACCTGTGGGAGCCAGGAAGTCTTTTCTTCCCATGCCTCCTTTCATTTGGTTCTTCTGGTTTTATTGCCAGTCCTGTGTCTTGCAATCTGGGTGTCTGGAGAAGCTGCACAGAGATGTGCAGCTAATCTCAAATTAATTAGCTAATCTGAGAGCTACCAGCACTTGTCCTTCACAGAGCCCTGCTCCTGCCCCTCTTCATTTTTAGTCATTCTCCATGTCTATCAATCCTGAAACTTCTCTGCAGAAATTCCTGGGCAAATGGTGGCAATAACTGTGGGCAAGTAAATATGGCTCTGTATTATTCTCCAGGCTCTCAAGTCTCCCTTCCTATCTTGGTCTCCCTATTTGTAGGGAGAGGCATGAAATGAAAAAATATTGACAGAACATTTTTGAACACTGGACAAATAAAGTAAAATCACATTTTGAGCAAACTGGTGCATCTTGCTGCATCCAAACTTGTTTATAACTTAGCTGACAAAAATCTGCTTGCTGTTTTCAGGAGAATCTTTTGGGTATTATGTATTGCACTGCTGAGAGAGCTGTTCAAATCAAGTTTTATGCTAAGACAATTGTGTTTGGTGATTGTTTGGTACAATAGCGAAAGAAAAAATTACAGTTTTAGTGGTACCCTCTGTGAAGCCATGTCTCCTGTTGTTGTTATTGGTTTCAAAGATTTCAAACCAGAAGGGATCCTTATTGTCATCAAGGCTGACACCTGCATATATAAAAAGTGCAGTTTATCCAGTAGCTCTTGTATCAGTCCTTTAATTTCTGCAGAGCTAAAGCATAAAAAGGTTCTGCAGAGAAGTCAAGGTCTCCAGCCAGCGACTCTCCTCTCTACTTTGTTGTTCAGTTTGCAGCTTAAATTAGACATTACTTGAAAGTCCTTCTCTACAGAGTATTTCTTTGCTCAATGTGAAATGCATTAATGGTCCAGATCTGGTTTTAAATATATCATTAACAAGGTAAAA